GCAATTGCCCCTCTAGATTTTGGGGGAAAAAAATTTTTGCTTAGCTTTTTTTTTTTTTTTTCCTCTTAGCTTTTTTTATTAGAAAATACCCTATAAATTTTATTTTTGACCCCCTAACCCAAGTCGTCTGAGTCTGCCCCTGTTGGTATGAAGTCAATAATGTGGCTAAATATCACACTGTTACCATTAACTTTCTCAAATGTTTATCAGTTGTCATTAGATTTTAAAAGTTTTTCAATTTTTTACTCGACTAATCAAAATGTATCTCATTCCTCACTCTGTCACGCTCTATTTCATAAGTTGACGAACAAAGTTTTTGCACGTAGCATGCTTGCGACATTAGTACATGCCACTTCACCAAAATTGCAAATGAATTGTGTTTTTAAAACGGCAAGTGGCTCATTAAACCCCTGTTTGGTGGTATTTTTGGAAAAACATTGTTTTGAATAGTAAAGTTTTGGAGAATATATGGTTAAAATGTAGGGAAAAGTTTTATATTTGTGTAGAATATTTTTGTTGTGTGGTTGAAAATGAATATGTAGAAAAAATAATTTTGAAATAATGTGAGACAAAAAGGGGCTAAACAAATATTTCAATAAGTTAGATAAAAAAAATAGAAAACAATTGAAAATTATTTATAATAAAAAATATTTTTGAAAAAATTTCCGTGGCTACTATTATTTTTAACACATAATAATGTAAATAAACGTGGGAATTACTCGAAAGGAGATAAGTTCCAATTTTATTTTATTTTTTTGGTCTAAATATATTCACACCGCGTTTTTTAATAATTGAGCATGAAATATCCATTACTTTTAGTCATTATCACACTTATATCCCTAAATTTTTTAATTGTACTCTTATCTTGAGTCTTTCATTAATTAGTACGTCTTGTCCCTAATAATTATTTTTGTCAAAATTTTCTTTAAGAGAGAATAGAAAGATTTATTTACCTACTTGTCCATTTTTTAAAGCACGAAAATAAAATTTTTTGATGAATGTAATGAAAAAAGTTAAAAAATAAAGATTAAGGACCAATAATATAATCAAAATATGGTGCATCTATTAAAAAAAAAAAAATTGGTGCAAATAAAACTAAATTCTTTTTTTCAGTCTCTAAAATGGACCAAATCTAAGTGGCACTAAACAGGGATAACGTCGGATTTGGGCAGTTGAGTGGGTTGGACCACTATAAAGTAGTGCCGAGCATAGGGTCCCACTCGTGCAAGAGTTTGGGCCGGGTACACGTGAACTTCACGAGGTGAGGACCAGTTTATCCACGTCTAAGGACCCCACTTAAAATAATTATCGCCTCAACAAAAAGCTAAATTGATTAAATTTGTATTTTTTCCTTATCTTTTTATTTTTTCTCTGTGTTACACATTCACTACGTTTTATTATATAATACTGAATAGTCTTCGATGACAAGTAGCTCAAGATTACGGATTACAACGAATCTTCAGTTACGTATCTCGACCGCAACTATTATTCTTTACTCGACTAAGAGAGAAGAGAAGAAAGACGACAATTATTCAAGTTGTGAAAATCATGTCTACGAAAACCTTGGAATATGATCAACACCACATAATTCTTACACGCCCCTCTTTAGTAATCTCATAAAACCTTATTCAATATAAACTTACTAAATATGTGGGGATAATTAATTAAATTTATAAGTGTTATACTCTAAATTTGCATTAAAACAAGCATGGTCTAAAATCAACAAAAATTTATTTTGTCAAAGTGGTATAATAATAATAATAATGTTAGTGTATAGCTAGGTATAAGACAGTAAATCTGTTAAAAGAAATAAACGATAAAGACTCGGAGAAAGAGACACGTTTGTCACTTTGAAAATATGCCAAGCCTTCAGTCAAATAATTAATATAATTTTTGAAAAATTATATAATTTCCACTAATAATAAATTCTTAATCTAGAAAAATTACAAGTCGACGTGTGGTAGAATATTCAGGAAGAATAAATTTTCTATTTCTTGATTTTTATTTTTTTTTTGAAATATTTTTATTTTCTTATTTTACGTTTATTCTTAAGGAAATGAGAGAGAGTGCACGAAAAAGTTTAGCAAAATCTTGAATACATAACATTGAATGTCGATATCGATCATCTATTTTTACCCCCCTCCCCAAAAAACAAAACAAAACAAAACTTGTATGGTGTTCTAAGTGTTCCTTCATAACATACATCATCTTAACATTGTTGAATATAAGAATATAAAAAATAATTTGTTTTCATATTTTAAAAATTAAAATTTTAATCAATATGATTTATACGACATTAAAAATAATGCTATAGGAACAAAAAACGCGAAAATAATAAAATAATTTTTATTACTAATTGAAGAGTTCTTAAAATTCGCTTTCACCAGAAAATGTTCAAGTCAAATTTAAAAATAAATAAATAAATAGCAAGTCCATAAAAAACTACCACTTTGAAAAGAACTTTGTTATATGTACAACATGATTGACAGTCCCCTCACAATTGGGGGCTCACGACTTTTTATTCATGGTGGGCTCTCCTCATGTGAGGGAACTATACACCGTCCTGTATACCACGGTTTACAAACAGCAATATCTCCCATAAAAAGGTAGCAAGGGTCCATTTGGAATTGCAAAAATTATTTAATCCAATTTTTGCCGTACAAAATTTGCACACACATTTCAAAAATAGGTTGCTTTACTTGTGGGCATGTGTCACCAAGCTTAATTTCAGGTTGACTTATTTTTAAGTTTATTTATTTATTAAAAAAAAAATTTTGAATCCCAACCTTAAAGACTCTCACCACCCCGCCTCTAGAACTTTGTGAGGGAGGTAAATCGAGGGATGTGCCCCAATAGTTCATGGAACAAGAGCTGTCTGTACACTACGCCTACAAAGAGTCCAATTCCATGTTTCAGGAATCGAACCCTCACACTGCGACTGCCAGCAAGACGTGAGATAACATCATTCCTATTCTTTGCACCACTAGGTTATGTTCCGAGGGACAGTTTATTTATTTATAAGCTCCATTATAGGTTGACTTATTTAAAATATATCACTTTAAATTCATCCTCTAACATCTATTTTCATTAAATTCTCAATATCTTTTTATTCTTTTAGAATTTGAGCTTAACTAAAGCCCTAATATTTATAAAATATCTTCTTTAACTAAATTGAAACTGAAAAAATAAATAAACAAATAAAAATAAAAAGTCTAAACATTAAAAAGCTAAAATCTCATCAATTTGGCCACTTGAACTTTAAAAACACCTGTAAATGACCAGTTATAAAATTTCTTCTCGACAATCAGAACGTCAACCATCCTAATAAGGTCAATCGGATCCAAGAAATCTATTGTATCTGTCTCAACTTTTGCATTGCTGTGGCAATTGATGCTTTCACTCGTTTGCTTTTATAAACAGGCTAAAAAGACCTAGAAGAACCTTAGAGTTAAGGCTGTTAACTCCAATTTCGAATATATAAGATCATTGGTTTGAGTAAAGAAATGCGAAAAGCAAAAGTGGAAAAACCGTTGTTGCTGACTTTGTCGCATGGAACGCATCCCCATGTGAGTCTTCTGTATTGTTTTTGTGAAATCATTTATGTACAAATGGAAAACTGTTGTTGCTAACTTTGTCATATTGTTATTGTTTCAATCTCTACTTTCTCATATGCTAGGATTTTCAACCAAGTAATTTAATGCTTAACCTTAAATTCTTGTTTTAAGTTCATCATGAAATTAAGGATTGTGGAGGACGGGGTCCCAAATCCATAGAACTAACCGTTTATAAGTATTTCGCTGAGCACCGGGAAATAAATTTAGAGCATTTTGGAGCCTATCCATGAATTTAATAAGAACAATATTGAAATGTGACGTTGATGAAAATAATAATTTTTAAAAATTTTAATATTTTAATAGAGATAGATATAGATATAGAGTGAAATAAATATATAACCATCTACTTGTAAATAGCTGTTCCCAATACTTGTTAGATCCTCACTGGCTCTGCTCGTGATAGTGTTGAAAAGTTTGTCGCACTCTCAACACACACTACACATGTCTGCAGTTCATATTTTGCACCTTGTCTTGTTTTCCATATACACAAAATACCAATAAAAGAAAGAATAAACTGTGCCGAACATATCTATAGTAAACCAAATTTTGGCAAACAGTAGCTTATGCCCTCACCTAATCTAATTTAAAAATACTTTTCATATTTCTTAAATGAATAGACCGCTCAACCAATAAGAATTGAGATTCAGATCCACTTTAATCACTCACCTAGACAGACATGGAAGTCCATCTATATCGACAAATCTATACAGATGATCCATCATCCACAAACCATAATCACTCCAAATAAAGTAGAAACGAGGATCATCATGTTTTGATTCGGTTTGAAACTCTAGTAATTTGTCTTCAGTTTGTAATCTCTTATATATCTTTTGATATTTGTTGCTCGGAAATGTCCGATGTAATTGCACTCGTCTTATGATAAATATATATTCACATTAACCGATCCAAAAAAAAAATGTAGAAAAGAGGATCAAAATCAAAATAAGCTGACAAAACTTGCACAAAAGCCCTCAACAAAAAAGCAGCCAGACTTTTCAGATTGCAGAAATTGATAATACACCCTGCAATTGCCCTTTCATTCAAGAAACTGTTAAAGAGGAAACAAGATTTTACAAAGGATAATAACTACGTTGATAAATTATTTGACAGACAAGAAATTCAGTTATCATTACACTGAAAAATATTATTAATTACTAATACATTTTGGAATTATTATAAATCCTTGCCATCAGAATGAGGGAACAATACCATATCTTTCATCTGTGATGAAAAATTGATCAATATCAGATTCAACTGCCTCTGTTCTTTTGGCGAAACGGCCTTTGATTCTTGGCCTTGTTTCGGCATAGGCCTTTCTGGATGCATACCTTATAGTCTTCTCGAATTTCCTGTTCTTTCTCTTTTCTCTATACCTCAAAACTCTTGCTTCCCTGTTCATTCCTAGAATTTGGGAACCTTGATTTCCACTTAGATCAACGCCGAAAGGGTACGAAGATTCTGAAAAACAGCTCCCCTCAGGCACAACCCCGATATCCAACGAAGATGATGAAACCTGAAATTTTGCAAAAAAAAAAATAATAATAAGAAAATTGTGTACATAATTATATATCTATTTATATGATGTGAAGAAAAAAGGAGGAGGTAATGGTATTTACACTTTGGCTGAAAGAAGACGTGGCACTGTAGCTGTTGTTGTAAGAATTAATGTTGGATCTTGTGAAATCGATTTCATTTCCCGATGAATGATCCGTCAATTTTGTTGGGAAAGGAGATTTCATGGTCTGTACAGGAACAACACTGTCAGGTTGAGATGAAATTGGAAAATCCAAGTCCAGGAATTGGTCATCGGAAAACAAGAACTCCATGGATTTCATGTCTGTCGTATCAGAAGAAAGTTTTGACATAGTAATTGGGTTTTGAGAAATCCAAGGATCAGCAACAAAGCTGTCTTGAGTGGCGAACATGATATTACTAGTGGAATCAGGCACCAGGAGAGATCCGGCCGTGGACTTAACCAAGGATTCGGCATCATCGTAAAAGGGCACCACCGGAACTCGCTCGTGGCGGCTAGCGAGAGGGTTGGCAGAATGGATGTCACGATCACAGGCGACACAGAGGGCGGCAGCATCAGCCTTGCACGTGACACTAGCCGGTGCCTGCTCGCACACTTCGCACATCCACACACGTTCATGTCTCGATAAAGCCAAGGATTTGGTATTCACATCATGCATCTTTGAATCACATGCCATGCACATAAAGGCTGAGTCCGTCCTACAAAATAGCAGCGCCGCCGCAGATTTGCAGTAGTCACAAGGCTTCCCAACCACATTCCATCCTGCCGGAAAACACTTGGCCCTGGCTGCTACTCGGCCATCTTGTCCTACTTCCATTTTCATACTCTCTCTCTCTCTCTAAAGTATTTTGGGCTCTCTCTCTATGAAGGATGACTAAGCTTATAATTGGTGGTGTGTGTATTGCCAATAACAGTTTCTATATCTATCCAATTCAGGAGAGAGGAGGGAGAGGGAAATCAGGTTGCTGACAAATGTGGGGGTGACACGTAGATGGATTTTTAGCCAAGTAAAAGCTTTAATGACGCAATATGTTAAGTAATTGTCTTATGTCTGTGCCGACGTAGGGTCCACAATTGAGGGTGTGGGGGTGGATGAATTTGACAGACTGTTCATCTTTGGTGTGAAGGGGCGACATGTACAAGTTGTAAAGCTAGTAGTATACCTGTAATGTCACGAGGAATGGAACTCCTCTTCACTTTACTTACCAAAACAAACTTTTTTTTCCTCTCATCGGAAAATGAATATGGTTCATTATAGAAACATGTGTAAGATATAAGTCGCTTGTAACTTAGCATTCGTATCCAATATTGAAGAGAAAATTATAAATCATTATATACATTTTATCATCCATACAAGTCTTTAGATTAAATAGTTTAACAGAATATTAGATATTAAGATAAGGATTCCATCTTAAAATGTCAATTTTGTTTAAAAAGAGTAACATAAACTCTTATATGCTGATTTATACTCCAATATTTAACGGATGTGAAATTTATTCCAATATTTGTTAAATCAATAAGCCCAACAAGATAGTGGATTATTTGAACAGATCAAATTTGAAATTTGTATGTTCATTTGAGTATTGATCAGATTGAATTATTCATTCGAGGTTAACGATACTATATTAACACTTGAAATATATCTTAAAAGATCAAGCTTGTTAAGATAAGTAATTCAAACCCTCTTACGTTAGTCTATATTTCGATAGTAAACAATGTGAAATTTATCCTTTAACATCAGAGCAAACAAAGATTCTAAGTTTATATGTTGTAGCCATGTATTTAGCATCTGTTTGAGCCTCATCTTTTGTTAAAATTTGCATTTGAAATAGCAGATTGGAGAATGTGGTTAAAAAATAAAGAAAATTTTTAAAAAACATGTGATTGAAAAGACTAACAAGAAAAATGTATTTTGAAAATAATGATGATCAAACATGGACTTAATTAAATTATGCACGTGTCAATCTTGCCTATATGTTAGATACATGTTTAAGACAATATTTAAATGATATATTGCTGGCTCTAAGTGTAAAACTTAAATCAAACTATCTATATATGATAATTAAAATCGTTTATAACTCTTTCCAAACAAATTAATTTGTAATACAAATTATTAACGAATTAATTTGCAATCCTCGGAACAAGTTTATTTATTTATTTATTTTCTTGATTCTCTAATCAATTTAGAATCGAACAAATGTGGTGGTTAAATTCAAATTTTGATGTAAGAAACCAGGTAGATAATTCAAATAATTTGAACGAGTGTGTTGTTATCATTTTGTTATTTTGACTTGCAGCTTTGTTATGATAATTTGTTGTAGTCAAATTTTCATGTATAAAACTCTACAATTGACTTTTCCTCTCTTTGTGAAATTAAAAAATGTGCTTATTAATCTACGTAATTCCATTGGCTAAATCGCATAACTGAATGGTCCATTGAATTAAATGCTTATTTGGAAAATTTTAAAAGTAACTATAAAGTTTAGGTCAAAATTAATGATTAATATTGACTATTAATTTTAAATATATATTTTATGGGATTCACAACTTTTATCAACTTTTTAACCATATATTTCATTAAATTTTATCAAAATTTATTAAAAAATTTATTAAAAATTTTATCAAACGGCCCCTAAATACTTAAACTTAAAGTATGACGTAACCATGTTTACTTTAATAATAAGCTTGGATTAACTAAACTTTTCTTTTTTCCAATTTTCCACAAGTGGGAAGTGCTTAATACCCCTTAAAGATATTGATTCGGCCAATTATTTAATGGTCAATAATTTAATTAAAAAATAAATAAAAACAAAATTTTATTACATTTCTTAACTCCCATTTTTTAATATTTCTTTAATGAATGATACAATTTTTATTAATATAGACTATAATGAAGCAAAAACAAAGTGTGAAGCATTAAGGAGTTGCCCTTCTAAGAGTAGTTACAGTTGTCACCAAAACCCATCAATCAAACGCTTCAAAATGTTTGCATGTTGGTTCGATTTCAACTAAGTGACACCAGAACTCAAAACCCATCGTTAAATTTTTAGCTAATGCTACAACTTACATTCACTTCACATTTTTAACCACAATAACCGGACTTGTGAAGTTTCCAACTCTACTCCATCACTCACCAAAGATAATTGATATACTCATTTGCAAGTTAAAGGAACTAGGATATGCTTGGTAAGTCTTTATAAACAGATAGAAATGAACGGTAAATAATATTTGTGGATCTTAAGACATATATGAATAAAAAAGTGGGGTTGACTTTTAGTACGTTTATAAACACTTGACAAACATGCTCTTAGAGATTCGCTTTCTAGTTGATACAAGATCATCTCCAATTTTCAACATTATTGAGAACCTTAAAATGCTAAAATAATATAAGAGGAGACATTCCTTTGCCTTTTAGACAATATTAGATACATTACATTACGCTTCAAAAATGTAACCTTTCCTAATTCTGAGCCATCTTTAAGAGAACAATACATAAAATTTCATATCATCTATACATTAATTTGGTTCTTCCGTAAAAACGTCGTAGCCTATTTGTCAAAATCAAGTTTACTAATTAATAACTTTATTTTTTTTTCTTGTTTTCTTTTTTTTTTTATAACTCAGGAAGGTTCTATATGGAGTATCGGAGGTTCGAATTCCCCAACAACTGAAAGGCAACATTTATGTTGGGAGGCAGTTGTCCTATGAAAGCAAAGTTATGGTGCACTTTGTCATCTCTCCGAGAGTCTTATCCGCACGTCTTAGAGGGAGGTCTACAAGGAGGAGAATCGCATCCCAAATATCGACAATACATATATTTATTTACTCTTTCACTTTTACTAATAGGAATGACAAAATTTTGCGCTTTGCATTACCCTACCCCAAATGGTAAATTGGGTAAGGACGGAATACGTGGTTCCTCCCTTAAATATTGAATATTTTTATTTGAAGTTTTACATTTCAGATCATATTTAAAAGTAAATATTATTTTTCAAAAAAAAATATTTAATTGAACGGAATGATTAATGGAGATATTTTATTCTCTGTCCCATCCCTCAAAATTTATGAGGAGAGTAGACGAAGTTGACCACAACTGCTCACTCGGCCCTCGCGACCCAATCTGTTTGCCTTCCTGATTTACCAACAATACTATTTGTTAATTTTGATTAAATAATTTAACTTTAGTAGTGTCGAAAAGGTTTGAGAAAGCAAATCCCTTGAATATCACTGCAATTGGATAATTTATTTAGATCATCAAATAATTTTATATAAATTGAAAGAATCAAGAAATATATGAACTGTTAAGCTAATGAAATCGATAGTAGAGTTCACTAATAAGTGAAATTGATTTTGATGTAGGATGACATTTTTATAAACGGACAAAATTAATGCATAGATGATATGAAGTTTTTTGTATTATTTACAAAGATAATTTAATTATTAATAATTTATTAATCACTACTAGTCTTAAAAGGTGGCTAGAAGTGAATATAAAACCCAGAATTAGAAAAATTATTTCAGTGATATTATTAAAACGCGAAGAATTATCTCTAATGTTGTTAATAGCGTGAAAAACAACATTGACTTAACGAATTTTTGAATTAAAAATCTGAAATTTTGATTAAAATTAGATTTTTAGTAGATTTTGATAGAAAATGGTGAAATATGTGATTGAAAAGTTGTAAGTCTCATAAAATATATTATTAAAATTAATTATTGACTTTAATTTCGACTAAAAATTAGATTTTAATTGATATCGAACAGTGGCTTAATAGCGTTTAGATTACCTTTATTTTTAGGTGAATTAAAAACCCTAGTTTGGGTCAACGAGATATTCTTGAAATTAGGTAAGCTAAATTATGTGTAATACGTCATTCACTGCGTATGCAGAAAGAATTATATATGGACAACAGTACCCTTTTGAGCGGCCCCATAATTTATTTTGAGTGGGCGTTTGGCGACTTGAACAGTCGGCCGGGCAAAGACCAAAGTGATTCTTTTGTTGTTTTCCCAAAGGGAGTGGTAGTTTTGGACAATTTGGACCCACCATGCCACCGTGATATTCAGCAAATGAGATATTATACCACATGTTTCGATGGATTTTCTAATATATTCCTCAAATTCTTATAAAATAATAGAAGCAGACATGATCTGTTGTTCGATCTGATTTACTGAATAGAATTATCTAGCTCTTAAGGAATCGGACCAAACCTAGTATTACAGTATAGAGTAATGCCACTCGACCGGCATGGATGACACCCTCGATGATCATGCCCTCACATGGAATGCGTGGATCCCGTGTGGATAAAATAATCCTAACCCCCATGTGTGTGCACGATCAGTCACGCGAGTCTTGCAGCACGGTTGAATAAAAAATGAAATTGAGTTAATCAATTCTGATTTGGTGTCACTCGATTTCTTAAATTAGAGTTCTTGAATTCATTGCATTGAATAAATTGAAAACTTTCACATGAGATATGATATCACACGCTTCGTTGGATTTTAATATGAATGTAGTAATTAATTTTATTCAATTTTTCTATGATATAGGATAAATGCTAATTCCCCAAGTTCTTATTAAATAATAGAAGTGGATGATCTGGTTTTGAATAGGATTATGTGATTTTTAAGAAATGGAACCAAACTTAGTTAATTCCTATAAATAAAATCATTGGTTGAATCTCGGAATCGAACCGACCGGTTATGGTTTGGTCTTGTTTGTTTCCTTCAATTAGAATCCTTAAATTCATTAAATTGAATAAATTAAAGAATGGCACCTGATACATGATATCACACGCTCCGCAGGATTTTTATAGGAATAATGTAATTAATTTTATTCAAATTTTATATATGGATAAATAATAATTTTTCAAATTATTATAAATTCATAGAAGTGGCCCCA